TTCGTGCCATTGCACTCCAGCCTAGGCGACAGAGCAAGGCTCTGTCTCAAAAAAAAAAAAAAAAAAAGGCTTAGGTTAGTAGAGGAGATAGACGCACAGTCTATAAAGGGGACTCTGAGCAAGGACTGCTACTTCATATTTCAAAGGAGTCATAATTCCAACTAGGGATCTAAAGAGCCCAAAAGGTTGACTTCAGCTTCCCCCTCATTCATCATAATTGAGGTTTTTAAGTTTTTTTTTTTTTAAGAACAAGGTGGGGCGGGAGGAGGCCTAGCCAATATGGTCTTGAACTCCCGTCTTGGCCTTTCGAAGTGCTGGGATTACAGGCGGGAGCCACTGCGCCCAGCCTAGGTTTTTATTTGCATGTGGACATGTGAATTTACTTTTTACAAGGCATTGGGAAAGTGCCCAAAGTTGATCTGTTTTGCCTAGGGGAGAAATGGGGCACACGTGCGATACATGCTGGTATCTGGGTATCGCTAGTGTCCCCCTTAATTTCCCGCCCCGGAACCTGCTACAAAGGAGGGAGACTCATCTAGAGATTTCTACACTTAGGTTTTCAGCCCACAAACTCCATGGGAGGCAGAAGAATTCCACCAATCTGGTCACACCCCTGCCCACCCGCACCGGCGTGGAGCGCAGAGGTGTGGCTCCCGCCGAGCGCCAGGAGCCCGCAGCTGGGTCTGGCCTCTCCGGTGGCCCCGCGCCGAAGCAGGGCCCGTACCTGCTGGATCTCCAGTTCCGTGTCCGGCTGCTGGCGGCCCAGCAGCTTCATGGGGAAGGTGGTCTGCGGCAGCAGCACCGTGTCCCGGTAACTGCCGCCATTCGAGTTCGGCTGGTGGTTACTGGCCCCGGAGACCGACTGCTCCAGAAGCCTTTTCGTCGCCTGTAGCCATCCCGAGCGGCAGGGAAAGCGAGGCGTCCCCCACAAACTTCGGGCCGTGGCCAGGGCCGCCGCCCCAGGCCTGCGAGGGCGCAGCCCCCAACGCATAGTCGGGCTACCCCTAGGCGTGTGGTCGTCCGCTCCCGCCCCGGCTGGAAGGGGCAGGACCCCCGGAAACCTAGAAGAGCCGAATAAAAAGGGCGCACGCGCCCGGGGAACGGAAGGGGCGGGGAAGAAGCGGGCAGCGGGGGCGGCACCACCTTCCGGGTCTCTACAGCCTCCGGGGGGCGGGCCCTGCTTCATGGGGGGGCGGGCCCAGCTTCATGGGGGGGCGGGCCCAGCTTCATGGGGGGCGGGCCCAGCTTCATGAGGGGCGGGCCCAGCTTCATGGGGGCCGGGAAAGGTGCGGCTCCTATTCCAGTCACTGTGCCCTCCTTTTTAAAAATATAGTTATTTTAATTTAACACAACATAGCTATGATTGCATCACTTTAACATGTAGCCGATAAGAACTAAGATATTTTACATATTCTCTTCATGCGAAGCCTTTGAAATCTGACATGTACTTTGCACATGCTGCACATCTCAGTCTGGACTAAACACATGGCAAGGCCTCAGCAGGCACACTTGGGTCATGACTACCATTGTGGGCAGCACAAACTTCAATGAAAATATTGTAAAATAGTAAAATTTCAGCAAATCGAGTTGTACAGATCTAATTGGCTAGTATTAGATATTCCTAAACCTTTGTACAAAGAGGATCTCTGATGAACTGAGGGGCAGGGTGAAGTTTATAGGCAGAAAAGGCTGATGAAAGCAAAAACAGGGAACGAAAAGCAGGCGCCATTTCAAAGTTACTTGGCTTAATGGATTTGGCTATCATGTCTCCTGATTTCCTGGAATTCAGATCTTACAAGCAAACAGCCTAGTGCCGGAGCTCAGTCCAGATCAATGACTTCCCATAAATTTTAACAATATTATAAAACAATCTAACTTTTTAAAACTTTCCCTAAATCCCTGTTATATCCCACTCGTAGAACAGTATACTATGCAAAGCACCTTCTGCTCCTGTTTCTGACACATTCTGCTCTATGTGGTTATCCACTTCATTATAGTTCACAATTGTTACCATTTCATTGTAGAGTACACCTCTTGGGAATAGCCTTCCTAATCATAAAACACAACATCCAAAACATTTAGTTCATGTAAATAAGGACTGATTTTTCTACAAATATTAAAATATGTAGATACCAAAAAATGAGAAACCAAGTGACATATATAGAAAGCACTCAATCAATGTCAGCCTTTCACCAGTCAATGACCCCAGGTCTGTACCTGATTAAATGATCTTCAAAACCAGATGAGGTGAAGACACGGTATGCCAAAAAACCATGCGAGGTAGGAACTATGAATGTTTCCATTTCACAGATAAGGAAACTGAGGCACATAGAGTTATGTCACTTGCTTAGGATCATACAACTAAGTAGCACAGTTGGAATTCAAGCCCAGGCAGTTAGAGTCCTGTGCCTATGTGTATAGCCACCATGTTATCTTGCCTTCCCTACACTATAGTGTGGAGGAAAACATTTGCTACACATTAAAAAATATACAAAATGTATAAAGAGCTGCTACAGATCAAAAAGACAAACAACCCAATTTTTAAAAAGGATAAAAGGGGCCGGGCGCGGTGGCTCACGCCTATAATCCCAGCACTTTGGGAGGCCGAGACGGGAAGATCACAAGGTCAAGAGATCGAGAGCATGTTGGTCAACATGGTGAAACCCCGTCTCTACTAAAAATACAAAAATTTAATCATCAGCGCCACCATGCCCTGATGATTAAGTGTTGAGTATTTCTAGTATTTGGTAGAATAACTTGACTTGCAGTTGATTGTCAGGAAATAGGAAAGGACACACATTTCTGAAATAGTGAGATGACATTTCCAAGCGCAGTTCTTAGGAGTAAATACTTCCCCATGCTTTTCGCCCAATGAGAATTTCAGTGTTCTCCAAACAGGTGGCTTCAGAATCCCTTTATCACCTGAGGGTTCAGTTGCAGTTTCTGAAATTTTCAAGCTCTGTGGGATATACAAGTGCCTTTGAAAGTGACTGCCTCAGCTTCTGAAATATTTGATATTTCACTTCTCAAGTCTGGTTCTGCTGCCTCCTCTGTTCCTCCACTAAGAGACCTTTCAGAGCTTCTGTTACAAGAGTGGTCCTCAGCATATGACCCCTGGGAGAGCAGCAGCAGCACCTGGAACCTTGTGAGGTGCCAACCCCAGACCGCCTGAATCCAAAACCTCGGGGACCAGCCTAGCACTCTGTTTTAGGAAGTGCTAGCAGTCACCCTCTAGGTGATTCTGACATACACCAAAGTTCCAGAGTGGCTGTGTTAGCAGACTATGTATGTAGGAGTGCTTATAAATATTGTTGAAGAAATTTTAGTTATGAGTATGTCTTCTGAACAAAACTATTGATTTGTTTCATTTCTTTAACTCCATTGCCTTAAGAAATGTTTGTGACGTGGAGGGGAGAAGGTGAAGTGTTTCACGGGCTAACTTTCCTGTTTTATTACACTGCATTCTTTCTTTTTTTTTTTTTTTTTTTGTTCATGTCTTTTATTAACTCGGTTATTTGTCTTCTGGTTTGTTAAAGCAGTAAGTCAGACAACATTTGCCACAATAATGTCTGTCAAAGTGGCTTGCCATAAACACTCCAGCACCACATTCATCAGAAGGGCATTCTCGACGAAGGCGACTAATTTTGCCATTCTCATCCACCTTGTAATATTTCAGGACAGCCAGCTTAACCTTCTTTCTCTTGTGCTTATTCCTCTTGGGAGTGGTGTAAGACTTCTTCTTCCTTTTCTTAGCACCACCACGAAGTCTCAACACAAGATGAAGAGTAGACTCCTTCTGAATGTTGTAGTCAGACAAAGTACGTCCATCTTCCAGTTGCTTGCCAGCAAAGATCAGTCTTTGCTGATCAGGAGGAATTCCTTCCTTATCCTGGATCTTGGCCTTTACATTTTCTATTGTATCCGAGGGTTCAACCTCGAGGGTGATGGTTTTTCCCGTAAGGGTTTTCACGAAAATCTGCATTTTGGTGGCGGCCCCACGTGAGGCTGAGAAAAAGGAAGAGATGGGTTAGGTCAGAGGACACAAATGCACGAGGCAAACGACGCTTACACTGCATTCTTTCTTAATGGCTTGACTCACCAGAGAATAAAAGTAGAACTAGATTCAGAATTTGACTCTATTCAGTTTTCTCCAGCTTCAAACTTACTGTTTACACTTCCTGTAGTTTTAACTGAAATTAGTGTTAATGAACATACTTTCATGTTTACAAACATTTTAACCTAATCTTCCCAGGATATTCTTATTTCATATTTTACTCTTTCTTATAAATAGCATGATGAGGGACACAGGAAATGTATTATTTACAGATGATGCAGATGAATAATTTAACTTCCTCAGGGCCGGTAGCGGTGGCTCACGCCTGTAATCCCAGCACTTTGGGAGGCCAAGATGGGTGGATCACAAGGTCAAGAGATCGAGACCATCCTGGTCAACATGGTGAAACCCTGTCTCTACTAAAAATACAAAAAAATTAGCTTGGCATGGTGGCGCGTGCCTGTAATCCCAGCTACTCAGGAGGCTGAGGCAGGAGAATTGCCTGAACCCAGGAGGTGGAGGTTGCGGTGAACCGAGATCGCGCCATTGCACTCCAGCCTGGGTAACAAGAGCGAAACTCCGTCTCAAAAAAAAAAAAGGTGCAAGTTAGAGACTTTGGGAGGCCGAAGCAGGTGAACTGCTTGAGCCCAGGAGTTCAAGACCCACCTGGGCAATATGGCAAAACACCATCTCTACAAAAATTACAAAAATTAACCAGGCCTGGTAGCCTGCACCTGTGGTCTCAGTTACTTGGGAGGCTGAGGTGAGAGGATAGCATGAGCACAGAAAATTGAGGCTGCAGTGAGCTATGATTGCGCCACTGCACTCCAGCCTGGGTAAGAGAAAGAGCCTGTCTCAAAAAAAAAAAAAAAAAAAAATTACATTCACATAAAACCTGAACATTAATGCTTTTAGCACCTTTATTCATAATACCCAAAAACTGTAAATGACCCAGTTGTACTTCGACAGGTTTATGGGTAAACTGTGATACATCCACACCATAGAATACTACTCAGCAATGAAAAAATACTACTACTAAAAAGCTTAGACGCATCTCAAGGGAATTATGTTGAGTGAAAAAAATCAGTCCCAAAAGATTATAAACTGCATGTTTTCATTTACATAGCATTCTTGAAATAACAAAAATATAGAAATGCAGAATATACCCATGGCTGAAAGCAGTTAGAGAGCGCAACGTGAGGAAGATAACTTGGTTATAAAAGGGCGACAAGAGGGATTCTTACAGTAATGTTCAGCATCTTAACTGTATCAATGTTAATATCCTACTTGTAATATTATACTACGGTTTTCCAAAATGTCATCATCAGGGAAAACTAAGATGTACAAGAGATCCGTATTCTTAAAATTTCATTTGAATCAATATCTGAAATGTGAAGTTTAACAAAAATAAAAATTTTTTTTTTTGAGACGGAGTTTCGCTCTTGTTACCCAGGCTAGAGTGCAATGGCGCCATCTCAGCTCACCGCAACCTCCGCCTCCTGGGTTCAGGCAATTCTCCTGCCTCAGCCTCCCGAGTAGCTGGGATTACAGGCACGTGCCACCATGCCCAGCTAATTTCTTGTATTTTTAGTAGAGATGGGGTTTCACCTCGTTGACCAGGATGGTCTCGATCTCCTGACCTCGTGATCCACCCGCCTCGGCCTCCCAAAGTGCTGGGATTATAGGCGTGAGCCACCGCACCCGGCTCACATCCTAATTTTTCAAATTATCTTTTGAAAAATAATTTTGAGATGATGATCTGCTCTTTTTAAGACATATTTTTTCCTGGTTTTATTTTTTCATTTTTAAAATTATTTTGATTTTTAGTGAATTATATAGTTTTTCCACAATAACCACAGAAGGTTTTATAAAATTTCCAATACACTAAAATGTTTTCTCATGTCCGTTTGTGGGCATCTCCACTCCCACGCCGGGCCCCCAGCAACCACTGATCTGCTTTCTGTCTCCATAGTTTTCTATTTCCAACTTACTGAGTTTTAATGATAAAAATCAGTACATAGCATAATCTGTTTAGTGACTAAAATATCTAAAATTTTCCTTTGTTTAAGTAGAGCTTACTATTTAACCATTGTGATACATGAGCTATGAATGAGTTTTTTGTTTTGTTTTGTTTTAATTTTTATTTTTTGTGATGGAGTCTTAGTCTGTCACCCAGGCTGGAGTGCAGTGGCGTGATCTCAGCTCACTCCAACCTCTGCCTCCTGGGTTCAAGTGATTCTCGTGCCTCAGCCTGCCAAGTAGCTGGGACTATAGGCACGTACCAGCACACCCAGCTAACTTTTGTATTTTTTGTGGAGACGGGTTTAACCATGTTGGCCAGGCTGGTTTCAAACTCCTGGCCTGAAGTGATCTGCCTGCCTTGGTCTTCCAAAATGTTGCAATTACAAGCATGAGCCACCATAACCAGCCAAATTTGACTTTTAAGGAAAGGTTTCAGCCAGGCGCAGTGGCTCATGTCTGTAATGCCAGCACTTTGGGAGGCCGAGGTGAGTGGATCACCTGAGGTCAGGAGTTCGAGACAAGCCTGACCAATGTGGTGAAACCCTGTCTCTACTACAAGTACAAAAATCAGTGGGGCCTGGTGGCAGGCACCTGTAATCCCAGCTACTCGGGAGGCTGAGGAAGGAGAATCACTTGAGCCTGGGAGGCAGAGGTTGCAGTGAGCCGAGATTGTGCCACTGCACTCCAGCCTGGGCAACAAAAGTGAGACTCCATCTCAAAAAAAAATTAAACGGTAGGCTGGGCACGGTGGCTCACGCCTATAATCCCAGGACTTTGGGAGGCCGAGGCGGGTGGATCACGAGGTCAAGAGATTGAGACCATCCTGGTCAATATGGTGAAACCCCGTCTCTACTAAAAATACAAAAATTAGGTGGGCATGGTGGCGCATGCCTGTAGTCCCAGCTACTCGGGAGGCTGAGGCAAGAGAATTGCTTGAACCCAGGAGGCGGAGGTTGCGGTGAGCCGAGATCGCGCCATTGCACTCCAGCCTGGGTAACAAGAGCGAAACTCCGTCTCAAAAAAAAAAAAAAAAATGAAAAGGTTTCATCCATAGTTAGTCAAGAAAAATCATATTTTTGTGTCAAACTTTGATATTCTTTTTAAGCTATAGATAATCTTCAAAAAGATAGTTATAATTGTGTTTATCATTAAAATAGCTGATTTGTCCCTTTAGGACGGTGGTTGTTCATGGATTTACCCTTGGAGAAAAGATGTCCAAGTCTCTTGGGAATGTCCTCAGTCCTGATGTTGTCATTAATGGAGGACAAGTAGGTGATTCTCTAAAATATACTTTATTTTCGTTTTAAGGGTCTTAAATTGGTAGGCAGAGCCCTTAATATAGTTACATCAGTGTAAAAATAAAAACTATCCTTTACACTCTCAAGTAACACATGATTTTAATGAAAAAGGCAGAGGCCGGTATTGGGCCCTTTTAACTCATTTCATGTCTGACTCTCCAGTTAGGTCCCAACCCACACTGTTTCTTTTTTAATTGTCTGAGAGCTTTTACAATGTGTAGTTCCTTTTGTGATTTCTAAGCATGATGATCCGGTTTCCACACTGTTATGTGAGGTGCACCTTTCTCAAACCTTGTTAGCACATTACTGCCTGACGTGGAAAAAAAGGTGTAATTGTATAGTTAAATGGAAATGTATAGTTAAACAGAAAAAATGAGATTGCAACTTCTAAATGCGCATTTCGTTATTATATTGTTAGAAATTATACACGTTAAAGCTCGTCTTAAATGTACATCAAATCTGAGGTTGCTAACAATTTGGGGGTTTTTCATTTCTTTAAGTCCTGTGGCTTTTTACTGCCCTGCTGATATCCTGTAATCATTCACTGTTTTGTGTACAGAGTTGCTAGGAAATAGTGAAAGGAAAAGCAGGCCTTCCCCTTTCCCTCCCTTATTATAGAGATCGCCCCGGCACTGCCGGAGAGGTATGGCTGAGTTGTAGTGGCTGGAAACAGACGCGACCAGGGAAGACATTGGGTATTAGCATCTGTAGAGCATGCTCTTTCTTTTTCCAGTTTTTAGATACAGCCTAATTTGAGATTGTTAGCCCTTATTTCATTACAGTGCTAATATAGTTTATACTTATATTGTGCTAAAAAATTTCTGAATAGGAGCCTTACCTAAAACATTTGTTCAGCTAATGGGAATTGAAAGCCATTCTGTTTCTATTTTCTTCCTCAACGAAAAGGATCAAAGCAAAGAGCCTCCCTATGGTGCTGATGTCCTTCGCTGGTGGGTAGCAGAGTCCAATGTCTTCACTGAAGTTACAATTGGCCCATCCGTGCTCAATGCTGCCAGAGATGATATTAGCAAGGTTAGACCCATTATTCTTCCTATTTCTAAAGGAAACTTTACCAAATCATTGCTTTAAAAAATGAGACACATTTTGTTTGGCACTGAAAAAAACCAAAAGAAAATGAGTTCTCCATATATTGTGAGCTTTTAAAAATCTCCTGTTGCCAGGCGCGGTGGCTCACGTCTGTAATCCCAGCACTTTTGGAGTCCAAGGCAGGCAGGTCACGATGTCAGGAATTTGAGACCAGTCTGGCCAACATGGTGAAACCCCATCTCTACTAAAAATACAGTCATTAGCTGGGCATGGTGGCGCATGTCTGTAGTCCCAGCTATTTGGAAGGCTGAGGCAGGAGAATCGCTTGAACCCTGGAGGTGGAGGTTTCAGTGAGCCGAGATCGTGTCACTTACTGCACTCCAGCTTGGGCTACAATGAGACTGTCTCCAGAAACAAAACAAAAACAAACAAAAAACCTGTGTTAATTTGTTTCAAAACATTAGTAGTAATTCCAGTAATTTTATATCATTTGTATATAATATCCTTTATATTTTATTAATACAATATATAAAGCAGAATATAGCATAGTATAGATTATATTAATTTTTTATACTTTTATGCACTCAATAACCCTTAACATTTTCCATGTCTCTGTATTTTCACCTGTGAAGCAAGTGAAGTAACGTTGTTCTGACCTACACATGTGAATAAACTGGGCCACTGAAAGATCCTCTGCCTCTGATCCAGCGCTCATTTCTGTAACTGGCCTACTGGAATGAGAGTTTGCTGTGTACTTTTTGTGTTTTGGTTTTTTGCATTTGTAGTCTTATTTGGGACGATAATAAAAGTACCCCATTAAGAACGTGACAGGAGTTGGATGACTGCAACTTAATTACAGAGTAATAAAATAACTTCTCAGTGAAGAGTGAAGGCACCATTAAGTGTTTTAACTGCGTATTTTTTGTTCCTATGAATAGCTTAGGAATACACTCCGCTTTCTGTTGGGAAATGTGGCTGATTTCAACCCAGAAACCGATTCCATCCCTGTCAATGATATGTATGTCATAGACCAGTATATGCTACACTTACTGCAGGACTTGGCAAACAAGGTAAATATAAACTAATAAGCTTTTAGAAACTAGAAATATCCGCACTGTTGGGTGTTAACATTTTAGTTTTATCTGAGTAGAACGCTGGAAGTAGTACCTACTGCACTCTTGAAAAAGTTGCCCTTGCTAAATTTCACACATTCCCAGGTTGGCCTCAGGTATAAAGTGTTACCAGATCTTTCGAGTTTCTCAAAAGATTAGCGAGATGCATCCAGACTTCCCCTCAGATCAGATTTTTCTCTCACAATTAGCTCTATTTCTCCAACAAGAAGAAATAAAGTGGATATACTTATTTATCTGCAGATGTGCTCCTCATAACAAAGTACAGAAATAACCAAAACGACTATTCCTCTCTCTCATAAGATACTTGTTCAGTTTTACATGGACTTAAATAATTTGTGTTTTCTGGCTGGGTGCGGAATCTCACACTTTGCTTGAGGCCAGGAGTTCAAGACCAGCCCGGAACCCATGTCTACAAAACTTTTAAAAATTAGCTGGGCATGTTAGCAGGTAGTCCCAAGCTCCTCAGGAGGCTGAGGCAGAAGGGTCGCTTGAGCCCAGGGTTTTGAGGCTGCCGTGAGCTGTGATTGTGCTACTGCACTCTATCCTGGTTGACAGAGCAAGACCCTTTAAAAAAAATTGTTTTCTCACAATTGGGAGTGTGTTTGTATCAGAGATGTACACATCAGTTTTGCCCAAATCAAAACTCAATGAGGCATAAATCAGGGAGCACTAATGAACCGTTGGTAACTTTCACTATTTGCTGTTGCAAAAATGGTGTGATTTTATTATTTAAAATCTCGTTCTTGGTTAATGTCCTTTCGTAGTTCTCGGGGTAAAATAGTGTTTTCTGAGGAGAGTCAAATGTGTTCTCCAGAAATGACATCTGGAAGATTTCCAGGAGTTCTTGCATGTTGCCTGTTCTGTAGTTGTTTCTTTGAAACATATTTTTGAAAGGAGCATAGTTTGCTTGTGATGACTTACATTTTCATCTGCCTGTCTCAGCTTCCAAATTTATTTTGGCTTTGTTCCCTAGATTACCGAATTATACAAACAATATGATTTTGGAAAAGTGGTTCGGCTGTTACAGACATTTTATACCAGAGAACTGTCTAACTTTTATTTCAGTGTAATCAAAGATAGGTATGTATGACTAAATATTACAATGCTTAGCAGTGGCCAGGCGCGGCGGCTCACACCTGTAACCCCAGCACTTTGGGAAGTTGAGGAGGGTGGATCACACAGGGCCAGGAATTTGAGACCAACCTGGCAAACATGGCAGACCCTATGTCTACTAAAAATACAAAAATGAGCTGGGCATGGTGGCACATGCCTGTAATCCCAGCTACTCAGGAGACAGAGGCACGAGAACCACTTGAACCTGGGAGGCGGAGGTTGCAGTGAGCCGAGAGTGTGCCCCTGCAGTCCAGTGCCCCATCTCACTTGAGACAGAGGCGACAGAGCGAGACCCCGTCTCAAAAAACAACAAAAAAAACCTCAACCACTATTTCTTGAGTGTCTGCTCTGTGTTTGGCAAACATTGGGGATAGTGATGAGCAAGATGGGCAGTGTCGTGCACTTAGGACTGGGCTCTGGGGTCCAGCTGAGTATAAAGGTCCGCCCTCCTGCTTACTAGCTTTATGATTTGGGGCAACTTCTTCTGTAATGTTTCTTCATCTGTAAAATGAGTATAATAATACCTCGGGATTGAGAAGGAAAAGCACTAATGTGCTGACCCCTGTGCTTGATAAAGTTCAAAAGCTAATCACTGCTGGTATCAGATGATGAGCATAGTGCTTGTTCTCCGGAGTTCTCAAATCGTGAGGGGGAGAGAGAGATGTGCAGCTGTATGGCAACAGCGTATCATGTTGGCAGTATCCTTGTAGAAGAGGGCTTGATGCCACAGTCTTCATTTGTTGCTCCAGTGTGCAGGTGACGGTCCTGTCTTTATGGTAATGAGTCCAGTCTGAGGTGTTAGCCTCAGCCTGTCAGCACCCCAAGGACCTTGCACAAAGGGATTATGACTCCCTCTCCGTAAACACTGCTTCCCTTCAAACACTGACAGCCTTGTAACGGGTGGTATTTAACCACATGTTAAATGCCATCAACTAAAGTTTCGTAGTCCTTTACTACAGTAGTCTAGACCCTAGTTGTCATCCACCTGAAAAACGGATGACAGAGCATAGCCATGAGTGCTTTGGAGGAGGTGGGTGCACCTGGACAGAGTAAAATTCTGGGAGAAGGTATTGTATCGTTTAAATAGAAGATGATTAGAGCCGTAGGATTACCCACTACACATAAAGTCAACCTGAGGCAGGTCCTATCTAGGTGACCATATATACAAAGTGTCGTCAACTGCTGAATGAGTTGTTCTTGTTCAGGCTTTATTGTGAAAAGGAAAATGACCCCAAACGACGCTCTTGTCAGACTGCATTAGTTGAAATTTTGGATGTAATAGTTCGTTCTTTTGCTCCCATTCTTCCTCACCTGGCTGAGGAGGTGTTCCAGCACATACCTTACATTACAGGTAAGGAATACTTCATTTATTCTCTGAATGACAAAGATCCCTGATAAAGGTGCAACTTCTGATTTTATCTCCTTCATATAAGGGGCATTAACCCGTCTACAGTGACTGCTCTGTGACACAGTGTGTCTTGGTCCTGCATTTGTGTCTGTACCTGTTTGTAGAGGAGCAGGGTAAATTTCACAATGCCCTTGCCATCTCCAGGGCTTTCTGAAATGTATTAGCAGCTTGACAGCATCAAGAAATCACTTTTTTTCTTAAATACCTTTATAAATGATCTGAAATGGCTGGGGGCGGTGGCTCACACCTGTAATCCCAGCACTTTGGGAGGCTGAGGTAGGCGGATCACTTGAGGTCAGGAGTTCAAAACTAGCCAGGCCAACACGGGGAAACCCCATCTCTACTAAAAATACAAAAATTAGCTGGGTGTGGTGGCATGCACCTGTAATCCCAGCTACTCGAGAGGCTGAGGCAGGAGAATCGCTTGAACTTGGGAGGTGGAGGTTGCAGTGAGCTGAGATGATGCCACTTGCACTTCAGCCTAGGCGACAGAGTAAGACTGTCTCAAAACAAACAAGGTTCTGAAATATATTTTAGGTTTTATTAAAACAAAATATAGTGCCTTTTAGTGAATATTTTATGATAGTTGTTTTCTTCTGATTGCATTAACTTTATAAAAATTAGCAACTATAGCGGTGTAGAAAGAGAGGGAAGTCGCTTTAATCTTAGTACTGATAGCTGTTAATATTCTGATATTTCTATTTATTTTTTCTTTTTCTTTTTTTTCTATTTTTTTGAGACGGAGTTTCGCTCTCGTTACCCAGGCTGGAGTGCAGTGGCGTGATCTCGGCTCACCGCAACCTCCGCCTCCTGGGTTCAAGCAATTCTCCTGCCTCAGCCTCCTGAGTATCTGGGATTACAGGCGTGCAGCACCATGCCCAGCTAATTTTTGTATTTTTAGTAGAGACGGGGTTTCACCATGTTGCCCAGGATGGTCTCGATCTGTTGATCTTGTGATCCACCCACCTCGGCCTCCCAAAGTCCTAGGATTATAGGCATGAGCCACCGTGCCCGGACTTCTATTTATTTTTTCTAAGCATCCTTTTTTTTCTTTGAGATCTTATATATTTTCTCTTTTGTTTAAATGTAACAAATGTTTTCCAACGCTGATGTAAATGTTTTGTAAATAATTAGGATGGCTCCATATTTCATCACTTGATTACCATAAATAATTCTTATTTCCCATTCATGGTCAATATTTAACGGTTAGAGCTTCATATACAGTTTAGGATGTATGTCAAACAGTTTACTGTTTTTGTTCTTCTGAAGAGCCCAAGAGTGTTTTCCGTACTGGGTGGATTAGTACTAGTTCTATCTGGAAGAAGCCTGGGTTGGAAGAAGCTGTGGAGAGTGCATGTGCAATGCGAGATTCATTTCTCGGAAGCATCCCTGGCAAAAATGCAGCTGAGTACAAGGTTACCGTTGTGATAGAACCGGGACTGCTCTTTGAGATAATAGAGGTATGCAGCAATCTGCACCTGTTGAAATGGTACTAGTATCATAGAGCTTTGCCTAAAATTTACTTTTAAAACGTGTCTAAATTTAAAAAGTAATTTAGAAATTAGGGTTTCTGTCTGCTAATCCTGGTATTATCGCTGATTGTTTCCTACCTCACTGTGTTCTTTTCCATGTCTTGTAAAACATGTTCTGTGCATGTAACATGTACATGTTACTCTGCAGGAACAGGAAAGGTATAAAGTTCTGTTTCAAATGAAAGCCCTCAGGACTGTTTAAAAGATGGGTGACATATAAATTGGTCACAGTCGTCTTCAAATACATAAAAATTGGGAGTTTTGTATTAAGGGTCTGGTTTCCTGAGAATTTCATCCACCTGAACTAGAATTAAAACAAACCCCAAAGGAGTTTCCATTTTTATTTTGTGAGAGCTGAAGAAAATTCACTTTGTCCAGCAAGTTACCACGTATATTTCAAAGCATTTATCCGGTTTTTATTTCCGGAAGGGCCATCAGACTTTTCTTCTTGGGATTTTTAGGGGTTGATTGGCCGGATTGGTTTGTAGCTTAACATAATGATGTGATTTTTTTCCAATCTAAATGCTTAAGAAGAGAATTGGCAATGAATATGTTTTTTAAAAGTTTTGTTAGTGTCAGTTTTCTAAAAAATACCCATCTCACCTTGTTTGGTAAGTTCAATTTAAATGTTTAACGATGTAATTAGCGTGATTGAGATTTGAGTTTGAAATAGCTAGTAGGTGTAATAAGATGTTCACATTTTAAAATGTAGACTTGGGAAGCTCTCCATTTTGCAGGTGAGGAAGCGAGGCCGCTGAAGCCGTGACCCAGCCAGGGTACACAGCCCAGTCCCCGCCTTGTTTCCTACGTATGTTGGTAGTTTGTTTCCTTTGACTTCAGTCTAAGTAATGAACTGGAAAGAATAACAGCTTGTTTTGGATCAATTTTAATGTAAAAAACACTTTGGAATTTTCAAAAACATGGATGTATTTTCCTTAGGAATCATACCAAGTAGCTGTCAGGGGGTGGTGGGTCTGTCCATTACTAATTGCATCAACTTTAAAAACCAAATTAATCTCTCTGAGTCTCCCATTTCTCATGGGCTTTAATTTTTTAAAGGAATGTCTGTGTTGGTTAACTTACAAACTCACTTTGAAGATCAAAATTACAGTGAAAACTGTGTTTATCAGACAAATTCGGTCTACTTCCGAAGCATTCTGCATATTGCTTAGATTGCCACGATCACTATACATTACAAAAGCAGGTCCTTGTTGAGACAGTATTTTAGCCCCTCACCCAGTGATACATGAAAACATAAATGCTTTGAGGCTGACACACCAGGGCTCGACTTGCAGTTGAGAAACTTGGGCACGTTAACGTCTCTTTGCTTGTTTGTTCATTTGTAAAGTTAGTGCAATAAACACCATGCAGGCCTTTTGTGTGTGACAATTAGAAATAAGAGACATTTTAGGATCTAGCAAAGTGAAGTGCCTGGCATTCTCAATAAATACTGTTGATGCAAATCTTTAGTTGAAACCTTTTATGATAATTAGGCTTGATGCATTTAATGGTGTTTGCTCAGGATGCAACGGTGTACCGAAGGGTTCCTCTCTAAACATGAGATTTTATAGTGTCTCTTTTTCTAACCTCAGTTTATGACAAAAATGTAACCTAAACTGTAGCTTTCACATGCTTCCGTCCAGATGCTGCAGTCTGAAGAGACTTCCAGCACCTCTCAGTTGAATGAATTAATGATGGCTTCCGAGACAACTTTACTGGCTCAGGAACCACGAGAGATGACTGCAGATGTAATTGAGCTTAAAGGGAAATTCCTCATTAACTTAGAAGGTAAGAAGGACATGCAAATAAGTAACATCTGGAGAACTGAAGAATTATAAGCCATCTGCAGCTTTCCAGTGAACTAGATTTCTTCTAAAGGCAGTTACATACTTGGAATGCATCCTTCTGTGGAAATAATATAAACGGTTGCCAAGTTTCTAAGCCCACTCTTAAAACTCTTATCTGATGATCTTGGGAACTGAGGGCTAGGGACAGAAGAAAGAGACTTTCTTTCTGTCCTTTGAATAAATGTTGGTTATTGTATATGAGGTTCATGTTAGTCTGACTTGCTCCCATTTCCCTTCATGTCCCCGATTTGATACTTAGTACCCCTGCACTGGCGCTGTCCTGCCCGCCATTCCTCATTGTTGATGCAGAAATTTCCTGTTATGTATACCCCAGATTAAAATATTTAGCCATTCTTGTGAGGCATTAAGGAGGACGTTTTGTTGAGCTCACTCTAACAATGGTATGTCATAAGGAAGCATTTCGTAGATACTTGTTTTATAGAAGATTTAAAAAGTCAACCTGGTTCATCTTCATTGGTGGAGGTCGAGTTGCATTAATAAAGAAAAATAAGCAGGTATCTTGGCACAGTTTATGCTACTTGGGTTTTTCATAGCTTTCGGGTAACAGGGGATGGGAAATTAACTTAGAGGCATCAGTTCAAACTTGGGCGTGGCAGCATAGACCATGTACTAAAGGTTCTGGCTTAATTTACTTTTTGTAATTTTATTTTCCTGAGACTGAGTCTCACTCTGTTGCCCAGACTGGAGTGCCCATGGCACCATGTCAGCTCACCACAACCTCTGTCTCCCAGGCTCAAGCAATTCTCCTGCCTCCCCAGTAGCTGGGAACACAGGTGCATGCCAACATGCCTGGCTAATTTTTTTTTTTTTTGTATTTTTAGTAGAGATAGGGTTTCACTGTGTTGGCCAGGCTGGTCTTGAACTCCTGACCTTGTGATCCGGCTGCCTCAACCTCTCAAAGAGTTGGGATTACAGGTGTGAGCCACTATACCTGGCCTTTTTTTTTTTTTTTCCAACACAGTTTCACTTTTGTTGCCCAGGCTGGAGTGCAATGGTACTATCTCGGCTCAGTGCCACCTCCACCTCCCAGGTTCAAGCGATTGTTCTGCTTCAGCCTCCCACGTAGCTGGGATTACAAGCACCCGCCACCACATCCGGTTAATTTTTGTATTTTTAGTAGAGACAGAGTTTCACCATTTTGGCCAGGCTGGTCTCGAAATCCTGACCTCAGGTGATCAACCTGCCTTGGCATCCCAAAGTGCTCAGCGTGAGCCACTGCGCCTGGCCATGTAATGTTCAAATACTCTGTACAATGACTAGAAAATAATTTACTTTTATATTTCATCCATTTGAGGTCTAAGTATTAATTGTGGAGATACTTTTGGTTCCTTTTGTCCCATGAGAAATCTTGAGTAAGGACACTGTAGTTGTCACTGTAATTTGGCGTTTAACAATTCTTAGTCAAGTATGTAGCTGGAGAGGCAGCGTCATTCATCAGAACCATACGCAGATTAAACAGCTAGAAACTCTGCTCTGCCTGAGAAGACGTCAGCGACTTGGGAGATGTTTGTTAGTCGCAGAGTGATGGGGTCGCCAACTCCTCAGCTCTCTTTGGTTGTTGAGTTGTCTGATCCCATTACCTTGGCTACATCTGTAATGGGGCAAACGGGGAAGTGTCTAACAAGCTTTACCAAAGCAGGATGGAGGACTTGAAAAAGAGGCCTCTGCTAAACCAATGAAGAAATAGTGATACAAGTTGAATGCCTATGAGAAATCCTCTTCATGTGTTTTTTATAGGTGGTGATATTCGTGAAGAGTCTTCCTATAAAGTAATTGTCATGCCGACTACCAAAGGAAAATGCCCTCGTTGTTGGAAGTACACAGCGGAATCTTCAGATACACTCTGTCCTCGCTGTGCGGAAGCCGTTAGTGGAAAATAGTATTATAGCTCACCAGAGCAAGAACCTCCCCACAGTACTGGCTAGAAGTTTAGATACATTATTTACAATACTGGAAAGAAATCCAAGACTTGGTAATGAGTGGATGAGTACACGGTGGAGGATGAGGGTCGAAATCAGAATTATAAAAAGTATTTCCTGTAACTACAGAATTATGTGTATATACATGCAGAAAAAAAATGTGTGTGTGTGTGTGTGTATAACATAGACATGTATTTAGCTTATCTTCACATATGGTTGAGCAGAAAATGTTTTATATTTTATACATCTTTGGACTCAGGATTTAAATTCTATGATATCTGAAAATAAAGGCATTCTGGAAAAGTACTGACTGCTGTTGGTGCAGAAGTGAGTATCAAGGACAAGTACAGTTTTCAAAGGGAATGGCAGAGGTGTGTCTCCCTTACCCCACTAGTAAACATCAGACTTTTCAGAAGAGCTAGTTTTTGGATTAGAAAGAAAATAATCAGCGGCTGGATGTGGTGGGGCTCATGCCTGTAATCCCAGCACTTTGGGAGGCTGAGGCAGGTGGATCCCCTGAGGTTGGGAGTTTGAGACCAGTCTGGCCAACACAGAGAAACCTCACATCTACTAAAAGTACACAATTGGCCAGGTGTGGTGGCACATACCACCTGGAATCCCGGCTACTTGGGAGGCTGAGGCAGGAGAATCACTTGAACCTGGGAGGTGGAGGTTGCAGTGAGCCGAGATCACGCCATTGCACTCCAGCCTGGGCCACAAGAGGGAAACTCCATCTAGGAAAAAAAAAAAAAATGGGAGGAAGGAAGCGAAGGACCAAATTTGTTACTCAAGAGAGGAAGAAATCTCTTAATACTTATATTTATGAATGTTTAGGAAACAACATGAAAGCTGAAAATTTATTTCACTAATGTACATGAGTTCACAACAATGGACAGAAAATAGCAGTATATACAGAATTTCACTACTTATAGTACATTACAATAGAGAAAGCATTTTATAAACAATTCAGTATTGGATCAAAATCTTTTAAGGATGGCTAATTCTACTCAGCAGGAATCTAACTTGTAGACATCCAGCAAACCCATTCCTATCAGAGTGGGAGAGGGCTCTCGCTGTTGCTATAGTGTACTGTAAAAATATTTTCTCTCTTATAAATCGAACGGACCACAGCAACTTCTAAGTGAACATTATATTCAATCTAAGTCTAGTATTATTACATTTCAGATTTTTGACTTTAGATTGCAATTGTTTTAAAATAGCAATTTAAATGTAACAGTGTTTACTTTGACCGTAGATGAATTTTTATAATAAAGGTAAAACTCTTTTTTTCTTTTTGCAATAGTATGATGCATTTAGAAGCATGGTGCTATGTATCCCTTTATCTACATTTTCCCTGGCCCCTCTAGTTTTACATCTCAACAGAATCTGTAATGTAGAAGTTACGAGTATTTGAACACTTTGTTTTCCTTGAGCATGATACCGTAAGATAAAATGCATATTTAACATTAATGAAGAAAGTTGTGTGAGGGTGGGTATCTATCTAGGAAACACTACTGGTCATTGGCCTCTTATCAATAACTACAGTAAGTGCCACATACTTTTGTTTCAGAAACAACCCATTCTACATAAAATCTAATTCCTTTATCATCTGTGGCTTTGTTATTACAGAATATCTACATAGTACTTGCCTTTCTTCATATCAGATTTATTTACTTTAAAAGCCCTTGATAAGCAGTAAAATATTTAACTGCTTTTCTTAACCATACAAGCCAGAATTCAATTTTAAAATTCTATGAACAATTTTAGGATAACAAATGTAACTCGAGTCTTAATTACTTGTGTTAGGATTCTGTGAGCCATATTTCAGCTTCTGATTATTCTGAGCAATCCCCAAATCGGACTGTCTGTTCTACCAGAGTAAGCTTAACCAGTTTTATTATATAATGCTTAATAAGTACCCCCTCCCCCGAAGTGATGATGGAATTGAGGATTTAGTGTTTAAAAATGCCTGTAACTCCAAGTTTCTTTGACTAGTCTCCTTAAGTTCACACTACGTTCAGCATACCTGCAAAATATCACAGGAAGAACTGATCTCTTAGAACATATATGACAAGTGACTGTTAAGAGCCAGATATGTTTACAAGAATTCTGGGATGCGTCTGGATGGGGTAGCGGAGACCCAAGCAGAGGCCGGGAGGTTGGATTAGCTCTTAACAGTGCTGTTATTACTCTATGAAATGTATGCCTCAGTCAGACTCTCAGGCCCCATCCCAAATACTCAAGACATCTTAAACACTTCCCTTGTAGGATTTTAAGTTTCATAGTTACTTAAATTCTTGTTTGGATGTGCTCTTTTAGTCAAGAAACAGCTTTTTCTTTATATCCCTGAAGGACATACCTCTCAACTTTGCAAGATTACTATAGTTGGCTTCTTAAGGGAAAGTGAAGAAACAAACGTGTGTATCACAGTGACTTACTATGAATAACAACTGTGATCCATGACATACCAATAATTACACTGTATGGCTACACTCTAAAATACACCGTAAGAAACACTTGGTATTTGTAGAGCTCAAAGCACTCTTTTACATTACAGAGTTTTGGTTAATTTGGTTTTTTCTCTTTTTTTTGAGACAGGGTTTTGCTTTGTTGCCCAGGATGGCCTCAAACTCCCGGGCTCAAGCAATCCTCCCACCACAGCCTCCCGAGTAGCGATAGTTTGGTTTTAATCAGTAAAGATTTATTTAGCACTTGGACTGCTCTCGGCACTGTAGGGTACAACATTAGTTGTATTTGATGCTCTCATCCCAGCTATGAGGTCGGTTTGCTAAAGCTGTAATATCACTAAGCAGTTTTTTCATTACTGTTCCCAAGGACACATAACATCAGCAAATCCCAGAAGCATTCTAAACACTTGTAGGAAAAATAAAGTTGGACTTAAAATTTTTAGTATCTTTGCCTTTTTTTTTTTTTTACATAAGTTTTACAAGATAATACATTTTTACAGACACCTGATGTGGATACAACTTTGCAACTTGGCAAAAAGCAAATCTTAACTCACATTATAATTAATTTGCTGCAGTGTACGCACCTCTTTTCTCAATTTTGGCAAGTACAACAGGTGAAGGGTTCTGTTTAGTGCCCCCTGCTGATGAATATGATGGTCTTGAACCCGTTCTTCCTCCTCAAGCACCGTCATCCTCCGATGGCAACAGCAGAACCTCTGGGAAAGGAACCTTTCAGTCTCCAGAACTCCCCGGTGACAGCCCAGTGTGGGATTTGAAGCATGACAAAGGCGTTTTCTCAACATTTACTAAAGGAGAGTGGGGTGTTTCTATACTCTACTGATGAGGACTGTACATGAACACATTTAGACTGAATTACAACATTTTAGATAGCAAATACAGAATCTTATAAGAACATATATGTAAACTATAACCATTTTTTAAATAGCAAAGTTTAACAATAAAGCTACCGAAGTGTTTGAATTAGAAATAAACAGTAAAACATCTGTATTAATTATAATAGAGTTGACATTTGTTTATATTTTATCTTTAGTATTAACCAAGGAGTGGAATTTAGCCAGGGTTGCACTTTTCAAAAGTTGTATATATTCTTATTTCTTTTACAAAAGGAAAAAAAAAAAGACATACTTTTCCCATAAAATTCCAGGTCTTACTATGTAAAATAACCATGCACTAATTGACGTTTAATCATAATTTTAGAGCATTTCCAGTAGGTAAGTGTCATCAAGAAGGAAGAGATATGGCTTCCACAGCTTCAATGAGGTGTAAGGCTAGACCATACTGCCCGTGTTTTTCTGGTAAAAGCTCAATTACTTTATTTACTAGTTTAGCTGTTACTGCAATTGGCACTTCAGTGTTTTGAAGATCCTGAGGGTCCTGCAAACGGGACAGAAAAATAACCTATTATAGACGACTGAACAACAATTGTTCCTGACCTAAGAGTTACTACAGAAAAACGCTTTCCTTTGTAACTAGAAATTAAATTTGTCAGATGTTCTTCATGACGGTTATTAACTAGTCACTGAAGAAAACAGCCAATGGCCTGATCTCATTCTATTGCACTGACCATTGCTTTGAGCCAAGTACACAGTGTGGGTGGAAGTCTGGCAAGCAGCTCCATTCCTTCTTTCGTCTGGGTGTGGAGAAGCGCGTGAGCCAGCCTTTGCCCCGTCAACACCAGCAGCTGAGAGGCAAGGACTTCCTTGTCATGAACCTGTAGAATGGCCTGAAGACAGAAATAATACAGTCGTAGTGAGCAGATTTGTTAATACTCTATAGGAAAGGGGTTCCCAGCGAAGAGATTCTAGTTGATTTTTACTGTGGCCATTGGTTGTATACAACCAAAAGATAAATCCAAATCAAACTTAGCATTTAAACCCAAATTTCTGCTCCTTGGCTAATTGTTTTTGTCTCATCACCTAATTTTTCAATTCAATATGGCTATTCAGTGTGTTGTTTTCAAGGATGTGGCAAATAAAGGGAGTTTCACATCATGGCTATTTGAAGCCCTCTAATAGCTTCTTTTGATCTGTTTTTTTGAGATGGAGTCTCACTCTGCCACCCAGACTGGAGGGCAGTGGTGCGATCTCAGCTCACTGCAGGCTCCACCTCCCGGGTTCAAGGGATTCTCCTGCCTCATTCTCACAAGTAGTTAGGATTACAGGCATGTATGTGACACTATGCCCAGCTAAGTTTTTGTATTTTTAGTAGAGATGGGGTTTCACCATGTTAACAGCCCAGGCTGGTCTCAAAACTCCTGACCTCAAATGATCCACCCGCCGTGGCCTCCCCAAGTGTTGGGATTACAGACATGAGCCACCATGCCCAGCCCCTCTAATGGCTTCTGAGTATACTCAGAATAACCCTGGGCCGTATCCCAGGTTGTGGCCATGGTCTGTGCCAGCCTCCCTGCCTCATCCCACACTTCTTTATTCCTTGCCATGTTTGGTCAGCCATTCCCAGGTTTTCTAGTCCTGAACCTAGCCTTTCTAGTCCCCACCCACCTCAGGGCCTTTGTAATTCTTATCTCAAGCACTGTTCCCCCAGTTTCTGAGTAGGTGTCTGCTGTTTCTCCTTAGGGGATCAGCTCAAACGTCACCTTCTCTGACCACCCTACTGTAGTAGCTCCTGTTTATTCATATGATCCGTTTTTTTTTTTAATTAAAACAAATGTTCTCCTTTTCGTTTTTAGAGACAGGGTCTCGCTATATCGCCCAGACTGGTCTTGAGCTTCCGGGCTCAAGTGATCTGCTGCCTCAGCCTTCCCAAGTGCTGGGATTACAGGTGTGAACCACGAAGCCTGGCCCTGTTTACTTTTTC